CCGGGAGAGACGGGGTTACGTAACGCGGCGGTGGCCTTTGAAGGCTTATTCCTCGTCAGGGTCCGCGCTTTCGTCGACGTCAATGTTGGCGGCGTCTGGTGGGTCGAGGACGAGCCGCACGCGCCGGGACGGGTTGGCGTCGATGGTTTCGAGCTGTGAGAAGCCCTCGCCCTCGCCCTCTTCGTCTTCGTCTTCGTCGGCGCACGTGCCACCTTCCGGGCCGTCGTCGCGCCCCGAGCATGGGCACGGCGGTTGGCGTGCGGACGTGTTCGGGACGGTGGTGGGCGTCTTCGCCGTGTTGAAGGCTTTGAGCTGCGCGTCGGTCGGCGTGAGGTCGTCGACCTATGAGGGCAATCGCGTCTTGTGGTTTCCAGCCACGACCAGGGGGACCCGGGTGCTTTCTCGCCTCTGAAGCCCCTTGGCTCTGTTTCCGCAGTCCTTTGGGGTTTTCCAACGGTGATGCTTGGCGCAGTCATCGACGTTTGCGAGCGGCATTGCGTCGATTAACCCGACGCCGGCGAGGCGGATGAGCTCGTACCGCGCGAGGACGTCGACGAGGCCGTGGACCGTCCGCTTCCGGGGGAAGGCGCCTCGGTCAACAAATTTGTAGGCTTTGTTGCTGGCCAACACTGTGACTTTGCGATTCGCCTCAAAGGCGGCGCCCCAACGCCCGACTGCCGCACAACGCGCCACACGAGAACATCGGCTCGACGCAAAGCGCCACGAGCCATCGAGAAGACCCCAAGAGGCCCGTATCCTGATAACGTCAAAACATACTTTGCGTCACCACTGTTCGAGCCGCGGCGGTGTCTCTTCCTGATGGCACGGCCGAGGTCGCGGTGTCACTGCAGCGATGCCATACCGCGGCGCGAGGCCCGCGACCGAAAGGCCGCGCCGTTTGGCCCCACGTCCGCCGCGCGGGCCTCGCGGCCCAACCCATAGTGTCGCCCGCCGGCCTCCCGGCGCCTCCGCCGGCTCAGGAGGGCCGCAGGGTACCCTGGGGTCGCCGCCCTGAGAAGCAGGTAGCCCTGCGCGGCCCACAAAGCGCGCCGCGAGCGCCCCGCGGCCCTCTGCCCACCTTTTTTCGCACAGTGCGCGCGGCGCACGCGCGCGACGCCCGTAAAGTTTTGGTACAGGATGTGCACCGCGACGCCGCGGGTCGAACGCGCCACTCCCGACCTCGGCGGACCCCGCGCGCGCTGAGAAAATCCCTACTGTTGCATGGAGCAAATCTGCCACTCTACTGCCCTCGCTTAGAAAATCCATCTGGGCCGCTTTCGATCCGATATGGTGCAAGGCCGTCAAAGTTACATAGGCTTTATATACTAATGGGGTCAGATCATATCCCATCAAATCTGTCGGTGTTCAACTTTGATCATCAGCAAAGATCATTGGTCGGTTCGTTCAGCGATCGTCAAATGACACGATCGCTAAAATGCTTTGATAGCTCAGTGGTAGAGCGTTGGTCTTGTACGTTCATACAGAAAACCAAAGGTCTCGAGTTCAATCCTCGGTTGAAGCTTTTTTTTTGAGGAGCGGAGCGCCTTTTTTAAATTATTTAAATCTCCATTTCGTCGAAATACCCCTTTTCGACCTGTGGCCTGTGATTACACGCGGCTATACTCCCACATCACTTTCCCACAACACACGGACGAAGTGCGAGAGACTGCACTCACGTCGTCCCAAGGAATTTCCTTTTGCCAAACGTCAGTGACAGACGGTGTCTTATTTTCATGTCAACAGCCGCTCTTTGATTGCAGTCTCGGCTGCCTCTTGGATCAAGTGGAGATCTCACTCACGTCGTCCCAAGGGGCTTGAAACTATACCTTAGGCCCGCGTCGGACACGTCTCATCCGCCAGGAATACTCTACGGAAATCTTTGGAGCTCCCTTGTCACTGCTCGTCCACGCCCTGCTCGTCCACGACACGCGCCGCGTAAGCTTTTCCCTAGGGCCTTTGGTGGCAGATCAATCTCGACGATGTCGACACATACCTGCGTGACTTTTAAAGGCCACCAGGTCCTCGTCTTTTCGCCGCGATGGCGCCGTTTTTCAGCGACCATCATCGCACCCGTGTGCCAGCACGCGCCGAAATCGACGACTCGGCGCAACTTCGGGCGGAAACATGATCCCCACGTCGCCGCCGTCCTCCGCACGCGGGTGCCTTGGACGAGAGTGGCAACAAGTGCGTAACCTTTCCTAGATCCTAGGACCTGCCGTGGGAATACGTCTCCGTGCCCACTCCCGTCCCGCACGACCGCTCCCCGCCGGCGCGCGGCCACGCAAAGACTGCCTCGGTCCGCATGCCCGCGGTGGTCCCGATGACCGCGGCGCTCGCGCGTCTGGCGGACGCGAAATCTTCACAAGCCTTCCGACCACTTCTTTACACTTCTTCCGCACTGCCGCTTCACGGTCCGAGCGTCGTTGAGCGGCGCATGGCCGTTGGACTGAGGCGCGGCGTCCCAGGGGCATTTTCGAGGGGCACCACAGCGATCGCCGCGAGCGTCGCGGCAACCGAGGCCCGGGGGCGCCGACGCAGCTGTTCGGGCTCTGGGAGCGTCCGGGTTGTCGCCCCACGCCACTGGCAGAACCACACCGCTGGCCCGGGGCGCCGCGACAGAGCCGCCGGCCCGGGGCGCCGCGCGGCGGCGAGGACCGCGGCCAACGCCCAAGCCCACACCGCCGCCGCTCCGCCCGTGCTGTCCGAGACCGACCGAGGCACAACGCCCGCCCGGTGCCGGGGCACTCTTCGGCCGAAGACGGGGGCCGCACGCGGCGCTCCGAGCCCGAGCCTGAGCTCATGAGAACTCGGTCGTCTTTCGGCGACGGGTCGGACTTCGCACGTCAATCGGGACCGAAAGACGATGCGCCTTTTTCCGATCCTGCTGGCGCTGGCCGTGGACCGCTGCCTCGCCGAGTCGGCGGCGGCGGACCGCCGATTCGCAAAGGCAAAGTTGACAAAGGTTAAGACCTTGCCCATCGCGGGCATGCGCCCGGGTACATCTGGCTTGCGCAAGAAGACCAAGGTGCGCCCCCGTCGACGAGAGCACTCGAAAGCACGGCGCACTCCGCGCTCGAAAGCACGGCGCTCCGACGGGCGTCGCACCCGGGCGCAGCCGAGGCGCCACCGCAAAAGCGCACACTGGCCCGGCGCTGAAGCCCACCCTGGCGCGCTCGTAGGTCTGGCGGTCTACGCCGCACTACGTGGAAAACTTTGCGCAGTCGCTCTTCGACGCCTGGCGCACAACGGGCGGGCTGGACCCCGAGACGTCGACGATCGTGGTCGGATGTGCGACGAGCCGACGCAAAGGCCTCCGCAACAGGTCCTCGACAGACCCTATGACCTCCCTTTGCAACGCGACTCGATTGGGGGCCTTGAGATGTCTGCCACTTCTGAGACGGACCCTGAGGCGGACCCTCGCTATACGACCCTAGACAGCCCACGGCGACGGCCCCTCTAGACGGCCCGCAGCGCCACGGGCCCTCTAGACGATCCCTCGCGACGGTCCCTCTTGCGCGCCCTCGTACGGGCCCTGATACGGTATACGGTCCCTCTCGACGGTCCCGTATACTACGGTCCCTCTCGGCGGTCCCGCCGTACTGTCTTCTCTCCAACCGCTGAGACGGACGGACCGAGACCGGATAGGGGCCCTGCTCCGGTCCCTGCTCCGGTCCCTTTCGACAGTCCTTCTAAACGGGTCTTCGAACGGGTACCGTCCCTCACACTGTCCCTCTAGACGGTCCCTTTACGCGCCCTCGTGTGGGCCCTCTAGACTGCCCCACTGTACGGTTCCTCCAAACGGGCCTTTATATGGGGCCGTCATACGGTCCCTCTAGACGGTCCCTGAGACGACCCCTCTCTGCAACTGCTGGGACGGACCCCTGCGACGGAACCTGCGACGGACCCGATACGGGCCCCAGCGACCCGGCACGGGGCCTGCGCCGGCCCTCTTGAAGGTCCCTCTCCACAGACCCGGGTACAAGGCCTGTAGGCGGGCCTTTTGTATGGTCTCTCTCAACGAGCCCTTGTACGGGTCATCATACGGTCCCTATACAGTTCCTCGAGACGGTCCCTCGAGATGGTCCCTTGAGGCGCGCCTACGAGCCCTCGAGACGCTCCCTCGAGACGGGCTCTCTAGACGGGCCCAGCTGCGGTCCCTCGAGACGGGGTCCCTAGACGGGCCCTCCTTTTTGCCCGTCCTCGTACGGTCCCTCCCTCTGCACGGTCCCTATAAACGGACCCGACGTGGTCCACGAAGCAGACCCTGAGACGGACCCTGAGACGGGCCAGACGATCCTCCTCCGAACCCTGCTCCTTTCCCTCAGAAAAGGTTCGCTCAGTGGTAGAGCGTCTGCCTTGCTTGCTTAAGATCCACCCTGGGTGGGGCTGCCCCAAGAGGGTATGCCTGACTAGTCGGTTCCAAAGGCTGGCTCTCGGACCAAAGGGTCCGGGTGCTATGCCGCGGGAGTGATTTGTGCGCTTTGCGCTTGACCCCCTTGTGCAAGTACGGAGCGCTAGGCACTTTGACACTTTGGTCGTGTTCGTCGGGGAAGCCTTTTGGGGGGCGGTGGCTTAGGCGGCTCAATCGGGCTCGTTCGGGATGTGGATGTACCGCGTCGCGGCCCAGGCATAGCCTGGGTCCTTTCCTCCGTCTGTGCCTTTTTGCCGCCGGCGCTGAAGTAGATTATCATGATAGTAAGACTTACAAAAGAAAAAAGGGGGAAAAAGAACGAGAAACGCCGAGGAGAAAATGTTGTGAAAACAACAGGTTTAAAGCATGTCGAGGAAGAGTATGAGAGTCCCGCTTCCCGCACTGTCTCAGCACATCCAATGGCCAAAGTAACAAGCCAAGGGGCCCGAGTGGTCAGAATCACACTCAAGTTCAAGCACCAAGTCCGACGCGATGCCAACGGGCAGTATGGGCACCAGCAGGCCCAGGTGCGGCAAGTCGACGAAAGGCCTTTGTGACGCGACGCAGTGTGTTCTTGAAAAAGGATACATCCAGGCCGTCGGAAAGGCCGTCGGAGCCGTCCGCACGGCCGTAGGAGCCGTCGGCACGGCCGTCGGCACGGCCGTCTGCACGGTCGTCGGAGCCGTCGGAAAGTCCGTCGGAGCCGTCCGCAAGGCCGTCGGCACGGCCGTCGGAAAGGCCGTCTGCACGGCCGTCGGAGCCGTCCGCAAGGCCGTCGGAAAGGCCGTCTGCACGGTCGTCGGAGCCGTC